TTGTCCTACACCTCCACAATATTCTAGTAGCCTGGAAGACTCCAGAGTAAGAGAAAATGTTAAAGCACACAAAGTTCTCTGCCTCACACCCACAGCATACATTTGCCAGAGACCTCCCTAGTTTGAAGCTTGCTCTTCTCTACCAACCACCATCTGACTGTAAATTGGTGATGCTACGCTTATCTGTGTGTTGCTATGATATTGTACTAGAATATAGAACATGGGATCAGGATTGGAGCTCGTTGAAAATGTGCTGTGTGCAGCTGACATATATGGTTGAAAAGAAAGAGCACTTGAAGCACTTACTGGCAAAAATCATAACTCCAGTCTTCTGCATGAATGGTCTCTCAACATAGAGAAAAGAAAGTCCGCACAGCCAAGCCAGTAAGACACGGTGTGATCAAGGGAAGGAGGGAAAGTGGAGCTGTGGAGGATGTCATTTCACTGTGAGCCAGTCAATGCCCGTGGAAGCAGCAGTTAAAAATGGCAAACTTCCTTGTGCAAGTCTCCGGCACGAGACCTCTTTAATGTGTGAAAGATGTCATTTACAGGATGAAGATGCCCCTGACCCAAGCCATGACACTGTCAATCACCTCACATACATGTAAACGTTATCTTAATGAGTAAGTGAGACTGAAGAAGAATTGATGCCTTTGAACTATTGTGCTGACGAAAAATATCAAATACACCATGGGCTGCTGGGAAAAGGAACAAATCTGTCTTGGAGGTAGAGCCAAGAAGCTCCTTGGTAGAGAGGATGATGAGACTTAGTCGCACAAACGTTTGATTTATATTAATGTGGACCAGTCCGGACGGAAGCCGTTCCCCTTGGTAAAGTCAAGGGCCAGGGAAAAGAGGAAGAGCTTCAATGAGATGGAGCAGCCCAATGGCAGCAACTATGGACTCAAGCTTAGCAATAAGTCTAAGACTGGCACAGGGCCAGGCACTATTTCATTCGGTTTTGCATTAGGTCGCTTTAAGCCAGAACCAAATAGATGGCATGTAAGATCATGATAGTGATGTTTCAAATACTAGCAAGGTCACCCATGATAGACAGATGTTAGCAGAGCTTCCAGACCAGAAAGGAAACTCTGGCAATATAATTCCAAATATTAACCAATGAAGACCCTACAAATCTCAATGGAATATAGTTCGATATAGTGCTGGAAGATGAGACCCCTCATTTGGAGGGTGCTCGTGAAAACGGTCCAGAACTGGGTGGGTTCTGTTGTACATGGAGTTGCCATGATGCAGAGCCAACCCAACGGCACGGGAACTAACAACCACTCTCTATCAAAGGGCAATCAATCCATGTGAAATTCCAATTCAGGTGATATTTATTGATCAACTTCTACGTCATTACTGCCCTCAAATATTCTAGTGAGAGGGACAGACACATATATAACTAAGCTATAATGTGTTATAGCTGTAATGGAGAAACATAGAATTTGAAGAAAATACAGTGAAATGTACAAAGTGGAGATCTGCATAAGGCAGAACCCTGTCATAGCCAGAACACTCAAATATTTTCCTAATGAGCCACAGAAGCAGGAAGACTGCATACGAGCCGACAAGGGTGGAAAACTTAAAAGACTCAGAAAAGCAAGGCAGTTCCATTGAGAATCAGTTCTCATAGAGGTCACTAGATTTTGAGCATCTCTCTTCAGCCTTGAGTCTTCCCATGGCAATTACTCACAGACTCAAAGCAAATTCAAATGTAACTGACTATACTATATAATACAACATTTTGTATCATGGTGAGATCATACTTTTTACAATAATCTGAAATCAAGGTTTCACTAGTGTTTACGAGAGAGGAAATTAAACCTATTCACATTCATGTCTCTCTTTTTATCCTGTTCTTCCTAATACACCCTTTCTCTTTTTATATTGATCTTCTTCTTTCTTATATTTTTAAAGGTATTACCATCGCATTACAATAGGCAGAAAACAATTTTCTTTAAAAGAGAGCAAGACGTTCACAACCTTTACATAACCGTCAAGAACACTTTACTGCACTGCCTTGCAATTTCTTGGGGTTTCGTCTTTTGGTCGTTCTGTGAACATGATCTCACAGTAAACCATATGCATTTTCAATCTTAGTAACTCGTTTTTGAACTATGAGTAGCTTTGAGTTCCTGAAAAGCCCTGGTGAAGCTGTGGGTCAAGTGTTGGACTGCTAACTGCAAGGTTGGGGGCTCAAACCCACCAGCTGCTCCAAAGCAGGAGCTCCAAAGCTGCCTGCTCCTATAAAAATTTACAGCCCCAGCACCTCTCTGAATCAGAAGCGCTTCGACGGCAGTGGGTTTTTTACTTCTTTAAGTGTCCGTGGGGGGCACACACAGTGAAGCACTAGGCTACTGGCTCAAAAAGGTTGGTGGTTTGAAACCATCCAGATGCATCTCAGAAGACAAGCCTGGCAACCTGCTTCTGAGAGCCCACAGGTCTGAGAACCCTACGGGACAGTTCTGCTCTGCTCACGTGGCTGCAAATGACTGGGCATTACTTTATAAGTAAAGCCACCATGATGTTTGCATATTCAACTGCCTATTGTTACCTTGTCTCTGTTGAAGAACCTCACTCTCCTGCGAAGGGAACTATCTGCAAGAATATGCCCACCTTCCCTGGTCTTTAGCACTACTGCTTTGGCCAGTGGGTGGGCTGTGGTTTGAACTTAATTAGCCCATTTATAGCTCCACATGCACCAGCAGCTGCTCCCATGGTCACAAAGTGGGAAGGAACCTTCTCCATGAGCTCGTCTAATCCTTTTATTTTCAGCCCAAATGAGCGCCACGGAGCTCCTACTGACAGTGAGAGCGCAGAGTTAGCGAATACCTGGACACCATCTTGCCTCTTTGTGCCCTTGCAGATCCCACGGACACACTAAGAGGTCCAGCATTGAAAGCAACTTTGGCAAACAGTACTTTCAAATGGAATTCTATTCCACATCTGAACTGGTTTTTTTTTTTTTCAGTATCGAGATGCAAAACTTCCTATTTCCTGCTTGTTTGCTTAATCTTCTTAAGCACACAGAAAACATGTCATCACCGTGATTTTAACCTACGAAGTATTATCCAGGGAGAACCCCCCAGCAAGACTTAATTTAAGGTCAAAGAGAAGGGGTGTGTGTGTGAAAAAACTACCATCACTTGGACACATTCCAAAGTGGTTAATTACATTTCATCTGCTAAATTATCTTGTTACTTTAATCAGATATGGTAATAATTACCTTTTCCTATCTTTGCTTGATTCCGAACTGCTGGCTCAATTACTACCACTACTGTGCCCCATCCCCAAGGGGGTGGGCAAAGAGTGCTTTCTCTCCATTGTGCCTTCTTTAAAAGAACCCCCCTAGGTGGAAAAGCTTAAATTCGTAGAAAAGGGAAATGGGGTGGGGAGAAGGAGTCACTTATTCACAAATATATTTATTCATCTTCCAAAATGATTCTCTGCAGAACTCCTTTAAGAGCCAACACCCTCCTGTTTTGTAAATGATTTTATTCTCTTGAATTCTGTTTTATGCATGGCTCCCAGAAGCACAATCTCTGGGGTCCACTGAGGCACACCCTTATTTGTGTGTAAGCATTCAGGTAGGAAGAGGGTGTGCCACCAGAAGGCACTGATTGAAGCATTTTAGTTCAGTGTTTCTCAGACTTACATAAGCAGTTCTTGTTCAAATGCAAATTCAGATTAAGCACACCTGGGGCAGGGCCCAAGAATCTCTATTTCTATCAAGTCCCAGGTGATGGTGACACTGAGGCTCCACCAACCCAGGTTCCCAGACACAGGCTCCAGGTGAGTCTATACTGCACTAGAAACAGGTGGCTTTTAATATGAGGCACGCCTGGACTGGGACCTCCTCAACCCTACTACCAAGACCTGTGCCAGTGGAGTCAATCTTCCTCACTCTGTTTCAACTCAAGCCCATTTCAAATTTTGAAAACAAGGAAGTTCTGCCTTTTGCACCTCTATTTTGACTTATTTCACAGTCGCTCATCATTTTGACTTTTCCTGCCATCCCACCAATATCACTCTCCCAGAAGACCGACCAGCCAACCGTCTCTCCATATTCTCAGTTTGATATGTACACATCCATATATTCACCTATCCCTGTTTATAAAGTAATAACTAGCAAGCACTTCCCATTACATGGGTTGCTTAAACATAAAGCGCTCTGGTATGCATGGTGTAATGGGTGTGCATTGTTCTGTGATTCACAGGTTGGCAATTCAAAACCACCAAGCGTTCCTCAGGAGAAAGGCAGGGCTTTCTACTCCAGTAAACAGTTACAGGCTCAGAAACTCACAGAGGAAGTGCTGCTCTGTCCTTTGGGTCACTAAGAGTTGCTATTGACTTTGACTTGCTTGTTTTTCAATTTAAAGATGATTAATGCCTAAGTTCCTGCCCTTAATGTTGTTTAATCTAGTTAACATCACAAATATATAAAAGTTGCTACATACACATATTTTCTCGAAAGTTCATGCTTCATAATGATTCATAACTCATTGGCTGATCAGGGAATTCTGGTTTTCATCATCCTGACTGGAGATGGGATTGAACCTATCACCCAAGGCTATGAATGAAGGGCCCAAGATTCCCTTAGATACCTAATACAGCTTCTCAGCTTGAGAAGCCTTGGGCTTTAGGGATCCTAATAGTGGGTGACAGCAGTTGTTAGAATGTGTATTCTAGCATGCTTATCACAGTGGATGGGTTCTGGGAAAAAGAGACAAAGGGCTTAAAGCAATTAACACTCTCTGTTAATAGAAAATACACATTACTCTCTAGAACTTCACACCTTTTATTTACTTGAAATACTTGAGGTTACAAAGAGAGTGTCTTAGGAACACAAGTGCTTAATAGAGCTGCGCAGGCTTGTGCCTGATTGCACTGCAGTGACCCTGTAAGGTCTGTGCTCTTTCTGAGCCACATGGGACAATGAGATCCCATCGGGGAAGCACATTGCTTTGGATTCTGTAGGTGCTACAGCAAACCACCCAGATCTGGACCCAACAACCTCGATTTCCCAGAATATAGAGAACCTTTCCTTCTCCCGGGTCTTCTAGTTGGCCATTCCACAGGGTTCTGCAGGGTACCGATTCCAAGTTATCCTGTGGATGAGGAGCCCTCCCACCCACTTCTATTCACTCCGTTGGCGCCCAGGTGATACTACCCCTAGGCAGCCTTGCCAGTTCCTCCCGGCAGAAATCATACCTCTCTGTCAAGGTTACCAGGCTTCTTTTAGACCAGACATTTCGACATGTGAGTTGAACACATGCTTCCACGCAGCCTTCCACTACACAAATCCAGTTTCTCCAAATGATTACAGGTAGATTTAGAGCAAGGAAAAGACCATAGGGAAGTCTTCAGCTGTCAATGTTTTCCCTGGATATAAGATGTACAATAACTGCACTGGCATTAGAAGCTGATAGAACAGCTTTCTTGTTTTCTTGCTTTATTTGTGACATAAGACTGGGGTGAGTAAAAGTATCCAATGTTTTGGTCATTGCTAATGAGTTTTACATCAGAGACATTCCACAGTCTCTTCTCAAACTGCAGTTTTCTACATCAGCCGACGACTCGCGGTATGCAAGGAACTTATCAGAAGCTATTTCTGAGGCTGCTTTCAGGATGATTACCTTTCCCAGTGGCTGCACACATTAGGGTCTTCCAGATTCAGAGGGAAGGCAGTCCCAATCCAGTGGCATAGCAATAAACAGATAAAGCCCAGGCATGAGTTCGAAGAAATAACCATGTTGTTTTCCCTGAAGAAGAACCTAGGAGAAGAAGAAGAAGGTCCAGATTAGTGACACCTGGAAATGCCCCAAACAGAATTCTTCTCAGTCCAGCAACCACTTGGTCCCAGTTGCCACTAAGGCGGACACATGCACAATATGCCATGTATTTAAACAGAAGGATCACCAGATTTCATGGCTCAAAAGAAAGAGGTGCTTCTTATGTTGTGGCGGGTGCCCGCAGTTCTATAAACTACTGAAATGTGCAAATCATCGTCCATTGCCACCACCACAAAGGCCCTTCTCACCGCTGCCAGCAGACAGTAAAGGAATGCACTAGAACAACACAGGCTTCCAGATGCCCTCCCCGGGCGTCTCCCCCTTCTGGGGCCGGGAGGGAAGGTTGTGGGGGTGGGGGGGAAGTCGACATGGTATTTTATTATACATCTTAGATTTGTACATTTCAATATATGTCTTTAAAGCTTCAGTTGTCAGTTGAATACAAAATTCAAACTATATAAGCAGTTGTGGTCAGCAGGCATAAGATTTAGGAGGAGATTGGAGCAAGTTACTCCCTAGACTTCAGTGAATTTTATGAACCATAGTGGTGGACTGAATGGTGACCGAGCTGCCTTTTCATTCAAACTTTGGTTCAGTGAACGGCATTGTTGTTGTTATGTGTTGAATAGATTCTGACTCCTAGGGACCGCCCCCCGCCCCCATAGAGTTGCACTGCCCCTTAGGGTTTGCTAGGCTGTCCTCTTTTTTCCCTTTAAAGATCATTTCACTGGGGACTCTTACAGCTCTTATAACAATCCATACTTCAATTGCATCAAGCATATCTGTACATATGCTGCCATCATCATTTTCTAAGCATTTACTTTCCATTTGAGCCCTTGGTATCAGCTCCTCTTTTTTCCCTCCTTTCCCCACCCTCCCACCCTGGTGACACCTTGATTAATTATAAATTATTATTATTTTCATATCTTACACCGACCATACTGTCTCCCTTCACCCATGTTTCTGTGGTCCATCTTCCATGGGGGGAGGGGAGGGATTATGCATTGATCTTTGCAATCATTCCTCCCTTTATCTCCTCCTCTCCCCACCTTCCCCCTACCCTCCTGGTATCACTACTCCCATTTCTATTCTGGAGGAGTTTATCTGACCTGGATTCCATGTGTCATGAGTGCTTATCTGTACCAGTGTACATGCTCCAGGCTAGCCAGAACTGAAAGGCTGGGCTGGGGTCATGATAGTGGAGGGTAGGGAAGCCTCAAAGAACCAGAGGAATAGTGTGTGTTAATCTTGACAAGAGTAAATCACCAAGTCTTTTCTCCTGTGTCAAGAGAGCTATCCTCCAGAGGCCCTTTACGAAGAGAGCTACATAGAAAAGAGTACAAAGCAAGATGGTGAGCCATTGTCTCATGCACTTGGAAATAGGCTCAGGTGGGCCCAGCCCCTGGAGAAGGACATTAAACTTGGTAAAGACATTGTTGCCATTGAGAAGACTCTCAATGAAGTAGATTGACACCAGCTTAGCAAAGGGCCTGGGCATAGCAACTGGGAGGAGGGCGCAGGATGGGCCGTGGTTCTCTCTGTTATGCACGGAGCTGTCATGAGTCTGAGGTGACTTGACAACACTGACCAGCCACCATATACGGCTGTTTACAGGCTGGTACTAAAGGAAATGAATGTGGTGCTAACGTGACAGAAGCTATAAAGATGGTGAAACAAATAGGAATGTCTTTAGAAGTTAGGAAAAGCATTAAGCAGGCAAAGGAAACAAGAAAAAAAACGAGTGGGAATAATATTCCAGACAAAAAGAGCTGCATATGCAAAGGTCAAGAGGCAAGGGACAGCCAGCCCTGTTAAAAGAGCTCCACTCAATTCACAGTAAAAGAATGAGAGGGCTGGAGAAACAGGGATTATCATCACGAGTTTTATAAGCCCTGATAAAGGATGTGATCCCCACCTGATGATACCTAGGAGCTAGTAAAGGCTGTGGAGTCCCAGGATGGGGCAAACAGATGCATGAAAATCAGCCATTCAAAGCTCTGTTGGACGCAATGCTGCTCTGACACTCATGGGGTCCCCGTACATCAGAGGCTCCCTGAAGGCATCTAGGTGAGTTGCACCTAGGACACTAACGCTGGCAGACAACCTCAGAAAGGTCAGTCTGGCTGGAAGGGAGGAGTATGGGAAGGGGAACTGGTGTCGGAGATCAGATCAGATATGACTCTGGCTGAACAAGGAAGTAGCATTGGGGTTGCAAGGAAATTGGATGAATCTGGGGAAATTTTAGCTGGTGGGTGCGGTAGTTTATTGTGCCAACCTGGCTGATAAACACATATGGGGTTAATTGAAGGGCGGAGGGATAAATGGCTCAGTGAGCCTCGCCTTTCTAGTTCTCGGGTCTCTTGCTTTCTGATGGTCTGACCAGGGGGCAGCTGCCTTAGCCAGTTCACTGCTTTCGCTGTCAAGGCTCACTTCCTGTGAGCTGGCAAGACATCCCTGAGGAGAAGCCACATGGACCTACCCTGATGCAGCCCTGGGTGCTGGAGCAGCGTGTGGAGACTCCTGCCAGTGCTGAGATGCTTACACATGCACTGACTCAGCTTTCCTCCTGCAGTCGGCATCATTGCATCTATTTTGTGAGATGGAGGAGGACATTGTGGATTGGTGTTGGACATATGGGTTAATGGGTTAATGTTGGACTTGTGGGCTTGTGCAGCATTGGGTTGGGATGTTTTCTTGATGTGCACTTAACCTTTATATAAAACTCTCTCTTATGCATGAGTTTCTGTGGATTTGTTTCTCTAAAGTATCCAGACTAACACAGTGGGATAAGGTTTGGGGATTAAATGAAGAATTAAGAGAGATGAGGGACTCAAGGTTTGGGGTGCAGGGTGAGCATACTTCTGTGGAGATGGGAATCACTGAAGACATAGCTCTGGGGAGAGGAAGCTCTGGCTCCTCTTTGATAGTCACTTGCCACCTCTGCAGGCACTGACTGAACACCTACTTTTGTGCCAACCACTGCACCGGCCCCTGGTATGGAATTATTTAATGGCATGTGCCTGTGAACCATTGCCCTTTCTTGTTTTCTGAGAACTTAATATTAATCAAGAAGGACATGTTCAGTTGTCAGACAATGTCATCTGATCATTATAAAAGATGGATCTGACTCATATACTAATCATGATAAACTAAGCATTAGCCTGCTTGTTGGTAAATCAGTGAAAGTAGTAACAATGGGTCAAATTATATGACCCAACCGAGAGAGCTCACTTTCCACACCACGAGATGACCATCCGCACCACCACCACCATCCCCTCCACCTTGGGAAGTGAATTTACCAAAGAATAAGCTTGCATTTCAAAGAATTAGGTTTTCTTAAAACAAACAGATGATTAAAACATAACAATAGCTCAAAGCCTATCTTAGGGAATAATTTATCCTATCAATAAGCAGAAGAAAAATTAAATTCTTTAAAGTAAGCTTTTTTAGAAGGACCCAATTTAATTTTCTTTTCTTGAGCCTTATGACAAGTTATCTATCTCTAACTCCACAAAAGCTAAAATGAAAGAAAATGTTTGATTTGATAGAAGAAACAAAGTCACAAGTATGGAATATAATTAAAGGATTATGTCTGTTAACGGGAGAGGCCTTGCAAAATGGATTTCAATGATCACTAAATCATTCCAACATAAAAAGCCAACATGGGTAGCCAAAGTGTAGCTTATAGATGAATTCCAATCACTGAAGTTTCTCACAGGCTAGCTAAAGAGAAGTTGTAAAATCCCAAGGTTAATGTGCTATAACTAAAGAAGTTGTTCCACTCAGGAGTAAGAAACTAAAAATACTAATTAGAGTAATAATGATAAGCAACGCAGCTAACATTTCTTGACTGCCTATTGTGAGCCAATCACATTGCTCACCTTTTAGGTGAGGCATCTATTGAACTCCCAGGGATTTACCTAAGAAGAAGAGACGTTCACCATCCCCATTTTACAACGGAAGGCATGCAATCTCTTGCTAAGGAGCCTGGTGGCACAATGGTTAAGCGCTTGGCTGCAAACCAAAGGATTGGTGGTCCGAACCTCCCCAGCAACTTTGTAGAAGATATGCCGGGCAATCTGAGTCTGGAAACGTCACACGGAAAGACCCATAGGGCAGTTCGACTTTGTCACGTGGTTCCCAGTGAGTCAGACTCATATGTTGGCTTGCAACAAATAAGCATGGCAAGTATTGCTCTAGCTCATTGCTTTCTCTATTCCAGGATAAGTATTTTGTTTCTTTCAAGTGTGGAAGATGTATACTATTGAAAGAATGAACTTTCATTCTTCCCTCAAAGACAAAAGGATGGCTGGTAAACTGTATTCTTTTATCTACTCACAAACAATTACCCAAATGGGAATGTTTATATCCTGAGTCAACATCTCAGACCAAACCACCCATTTAACAATTAGAAATGTTTAGTCTATGAAGTTGGAAATTGCTGGAAGCAATGAATCAAACTGCCAAGAAAGAGAGAGAGCCTGTGTTCTCCTTTACTGTAAACATTGTAACAGTCATCTTCTGGCTTCCCCTCTTGCTTTGCACCTGATGCGCAGCCAGATGAGGGATCTGACTTCTCCATCCCAGTGGCACAACGAAAAGGAGAGTTTGATCACCTCTTGTTGCTTCTGACATTTGGCTCACAGGAAAAAATAAAATTTCACTGAGAAGTTGAAAGTGACATTTGTGGAAGGGTATTTATGAACATGTTGAATACATATATATGTACATCTAGATGCTTGGTAGTTAGGGTTCTGTCCCCGGGACACTCCTGGCTAAGGGTGGAGTCAAACCTGTCAATCAAGTGATAGCTTGATGACACCTCCTTGGAGGTGTGGCCTTCTGTCTAAGAGTGAGAGACTCTGGGAACTGCCCTCTTTCTGTCACTTTGCCTTCCCACCTGCTATAACTCTGCCAGTCTTAAGGGGTGGCCTCATGTGGGCTACCCAATCCTGAGAGCTGTCAGCACCCTGTCATGTCTC